AAGGGCTGATTAATTTGCGTGAATGTTGACGGGTACGGGGTGCATCTAGCGCGTGCATACCAAGGCCCAATCCTGCCCAAGGAGACGCAGGGCACCAGCAAGTCGACCTTGCAGGTGACCCCCAGCGTCTTTGGCCTCATGCCGTCGGTGGTCAACGACTAGAGGCAACGCCCTGTCTCCACAATTTTGCGATCGTACCCTGCTATGGGCCTTGCCTTGTTACACCAGAACACCATTCTAAATTGATTGTCGGCCTTTTGTTGCTGCTCTTGTTTTGTGGGCATCCAAAGGGTTCCTGTTGCAATGAAGGTTGGCTGCTAACTCACTGGAAACGAAGCTACCCCCCCTGACAGGGCTTTCTGCTTTCCAACAGTCCTCCTTCCTTGGCCTCCCAGTCCATCCCCCTCCCCACTGCGTTCCACATCATTCCTCACAAGCGGTTCTTATAGGTTCTTGCACTACGTGCAAGGAGACCTGGTTGAAGTGCAGGCGCGAAAGCAGTTACACTCGCTTCCACGGCTCCCACGTGCAACATTCTTCCAATTTGCCTAGCCATCGTGCTCCGGTCCAAAGCGTCCTGTGTACATTTGGGCTCGGGCCTCGCGACAACACCCCATCGTCCTCGCATCTTACCTCAACATGGCACTCGTGGCTCTCTTGCGTTTAATGTCCAGCTTGGGTGCTGTCAGGGTGGTCTCGGGGTGCTCTTAGTGGTCTTGCGTTGCTGGGGATGTTTGCGGGAATGATTTTCATGAAAGGATTCCGCTGTCATCCTTCTCCCCGGCCCTAGCCCCTAAGCCTTAACAGCTGAGTCCACGTCCTCTGCATATCGGTTCCCACCGATACCAGAGGAAAAACTTGTACCACAACGGTATTGAGAATGGCCCATATACTTCTCTTTGGCTGTACGGAATATGGGAGATCTAAATGAAATTCGCTGCCATCCTCCATTCCTCCATTCATCTGAAAAGCATGAAGGTGCCCCGCACGTACATTTAGGAGTTCGTTTTGTCAAGCAATTTTTTGTCCATTCCGAAGGCATGAGCCGGAGCTTCAAAACAGCGGTAAAAGGCATTCCACCAGAAACTTGACGGAATCCACCCCCAAAGGTGCCAGATGCACAGCCCTAGCTTGCAAAAACCTTAATCTGGGAGGCACCTGAGCCTTATGGCGTAGAAGGCGAGTACCCTGACGAAGAGGAGCGATGCAGAGAATACATGACATGGGGCGTCCGGCAATTACTAGGGTTCGGGGTTAGTTATGCGCATTGTTTTTTCATTGTGTTGTTTTTTTTGGGGGGTTTGGAAGTTCATGTCGGGTACCTGGTGCTCGTTTCTTGGATTATAGCTCAGGATTACGAACCGCCCTTGGATGCTCCAAGTTTCCACGTGCACGTGGACTCTATACGTTAAGTACAGGTGTTTTCATGATGGCGGGGCAGGGTGAGTATATACATATATGGTCATATATAAAAACCGCGCAAAGCATGAAGAGCAGAGATATGCAAAAACTGTTATGTGCTCCGCCTCTACGTGTTCGGAAGGATTTTTTGGGCACGCTCCAACAATGTAGTGGTTCTCAGTTGCAGGGGCTGACACTATCCGCTGAAGTCAGCTCATCAATTTTGTGCCTGTCCCTGCAGCTGCAGCGGAAGCCGAGAGCAACGAAAGCAATCCCAGATTCATGTGTTTCATGACAATCAGTGTGGAGCATGCATCCCACGCGAGGTCATCAGCTGGTTTGCGCTTATGCATTTCGGAAGAAGCAATCCTGAAGTCCTGGAGATTCCTGGAGAGCCGGGGAATGTATCCAGACAGCAGTGTTTCACGGACATAGGACTGGCATCAGCATTTACATCCCAAGGCCGGATTGCAAGCAGGAACCCTGGATTTGGCATGCGTGCACCGACCCTCTAGACCTCAAACCAGCAAAGCCTCCAATTCTTACTTTTCTTGCCACGCGTGTGCCCTTTACCGCCCGGTGGCGCATGCTGCCATGCCGAGGCAGGATGTTCAGGGTTGCATTTGGGGACACTGTAGTCTCTGATGTAGCTTAATATTAACGCTACCGCGCTCCGCCTCGGCCGGCCCGAGCAGCGGTCGGCGGCGGAGGAGGACAGACGGCATGCAGAAGCAGAGCAAGTCGTGACAGGGTCGCAAGGCGGGGGGGCCAGGAGGGGTGAGGGGGGGTGGTCAATTGATAAGGCTTTCTGGCCAGTCCCACCAGGGGCAGACCAAAAGCCACAAAAGGCAAGGAAGCAGAAGAGCTTGAATAGGAGGCGGAGGAAGGGGGAAAGGAACAAGCGGGGGCACGACAAGGTGGTGTTTCCCAGAAAGGTGAGGGGGCGGGGGCGTTTCAAGGGGATGGGCCCAGGGGACTCAAAGTTTGCCTGATTCTCGCCAACTTGCGGCCCGACCCAGGCTGTCTGGCCAGTCCCACCAGAGAGGGGGGACGGGGGGATGGGTAGAGCATTGCTCCCCAGGCCTCGCCTAATCAAGATTATATGCCCTTTTGTGGGTATAGTATCTTGTATAAAGAATATGACCGTATTTGTTGTCGTAGCTGTTTTTGCAGGCTTCAAGGTCAGGTAACTGGCCGGGAGCAAACTTGTCTCTGGGATCTTTCTCGTGTTCCTTTACGAACGTGTGTCCTGTTCGGTTTGCGACCAATTTTTTGTTGAACTCTCGCAGTCTAGGCTCATGAAATTACGAATTCAGTGCTCAGGATTGCTTCGTTCTTCTTGGGGTATAGCCTATATGTAGACGCTTAAATCATTGCACCGTCCAAGGTTCCTTACATAATCATGGCCTAGGATAATCAAATAATCTTTAAACTGATATTGGTAGTTATTTGGGCCCCTACGTCATTTCATCACCAGCCTGAGCGATTGCAACCTGAAACCGTAGACCCTAAACCCGAAATTTAAACCCTAGCAGGATAAGTAGCAAGAACACGATAGATGATAAATTACTATTCTTGACGCTGAACTGTTCATCTTGTGTTTCCTCCTCCGGCTGCGAATTCGGCGTCTTCATGTTGCCAGCTGCTCTTTTGAGCAGATCTACACAGAATTCAAAACCAATGCCAGCAATGAGGCAGTCGGCAAGCATTTATCGAGCTCCGAAACGTAGAAAGCGGAGGGCCATGGCCAGGAGCGGCTGTGATGAGCCTTGCCCTGCACCCTGTCCGGCCGCCCGAGTCCAAGGTTGTTGGAATAGGGAAAGGATTTAGCAAACATGTGTTTATGTAAAACGCAGTTGTGCCGGTTCCTCGGACTGGGAGGCATAACATGCAGTGAGCATTGTGGAAGTGCATATTTGGAAGGGGCGCCAACAGCTAGGTCCTTCCTTTGACTGGTATGTGGGCAGAGTGCATCAACCCACATAGTTTTGATACTGATATTTGCGAGAATGCTGTTGCCAAGATTCGAGGAGCTTGTGGGGGAAGCGGGCGCATGCATTCGTGAAGTGAGACACGGTAGATGAAGTCCCGGGATGTGACGTCAAGACAGGCAAGGATGCCACATGTCCAAATCTATCCAGCATGATGCGAATGTCGGGAGAATTTGGACCATAATCGCTTGAATCTGCGGGTTGAACCAAACACATAGTATCAGTACCGTGTGAGAGAGAGGCCTGAGGCCCTTCCAACGCCGGCAGAAGAAGAAGAGAGACAGACTTTCTGGGACCGGGGCAGTAAGGCCAATTGAGACGGAGTCATACGAATCCTGCTATACTCCTTGTGTGGGCTGGCTTCATGATTCACGAATGCGCTTGAAGTTCAGACTACGAGTTGAGTAGTTACCGAGTAGTTGAGTAGACAGTACTGTGATGATGACCAAAGAGCACTGCATAAGGGCAATGAGCGTTTTAACTGAGCAGTGGTCTTGAGAGACAGTCAACGTGCTGCTGGTGCGCGTTTTGGGCAAGCCGTGCTTACAAGCCGCAGAACTATCCGGAGGCATTTGCAGGATTGGATCGTATGATGATTCAACACGTAGCGGGAGCCCCAAGTCATGTTTTTGCAGGCGCGTTTCATCTGAGTTGCTCCATAGGCAAGATCACCCACTCGTAGCAATGTAGACGCAGCTTCACCTTCGCTCAAACAAGGATAATCAACTAGCACGACCAGCTGATTACGATAGCCCCAGCCACGTGCTGCGATGCTTTTGATCCTATGGCTGCTTGTAGCTGCGCAGCTACGTGCGATACTTGCCGCCGGGGGTTCCAACAGCACAGTCGCCTGGCGTCATAAATCGACCTCCAGCCTCCAGCGCATTTCGCTTCATTTGCTGGGACGATCCTGGCTCTGAGGACAGCCACGAAGAACACGCTGCAGCGCATGCAGATCACAGCCACCCGCATGTAGCAATCTTGCTCCCTGGCCTTGAGAGTAGAAGAATCTTAAGCTTGCAGCTCGGTGCGTTATCCATCCGATGAAGAGCAGCGCAGACGGTGTAGACAACAGGACAAAATCTGCAGAAGAGCATTTCGCCATTCTGTATGACATGCGCCTGACTGATCTGAGGTTTCCTTTCCTAGCGATGCTGACAGGTCTCACGGCAGCCTGTTGTGTTTCCGTCAGCCGCGTTGACTTTGTAAAGCAACGTAAGTGCAGGCTGCTAGAGGGTTCTACCTAGTCCATCCGAGCAGCTGGTGCAAGGTATTTCCATTACGCATCTGGGCTCGCGCTGTGCAGTCGTTGCCAAGATACCTTACACAGTGTCGCTGTTGCTTCTCAGCTGAAGCCCATGGGATGAAGCGGAGAGACTTGCTGTGAAGCCCACATGTCTGAAGAACTAATATCAACTTAGGATTGCCGGAGTCATTCTTGGAGCCATGCACATCGAGAGCGGTGAAGGTGTGGTTATCCAAATAGAGTGCTCGTTTGCTGGTATGCTCGGGCAGATGCTTGGGAGCAAGCCGCAGATTGGGAGTTGTTTCTGAGCGTTGTTTCCGCACGCAGGCTTGGGTAGCCTGTCCGAGAGCATTGTTCTCTGGATGGACATTGTCCCTTTGCTGGGAATCATGCTTGCTGTTCATGACTTGGAAGGCTTTGTGAGTTCGCTTTGTGCCAAGCACAGCTACACAGGATCCACATTTGCTCTTGTACGCGTTTCTGCCCGTCCTTCTGTTCGGAGACGCCATGTCCATTGCCACTACCTCAGCAGCCAACTTGCTTGAGAGGGATTCTCTGAGGATTGACTATGCGGAGCATGTGTTGAATTGTTACAGCGCATGCTGTAATCGTGCAGCCAGACTTCCTGCATATCCATGGGGTCTCTACAACATTTGCATCACTTCATGGCATGCTTATAGCTTTCACCATCCTGTGACGAAGGTGTGGCATGACTTCCGGCGGACGGCCCTCCAGTGCGCAGTGCTAGCAGGCCGGATCACATGTTCCCAGCCGTGGGGCTGAACAGGGCGCTAGTGCCATCATTACCGGACTGATAGCTGCTACACAGTGCCTGGGACGACTTCCAGGCTTCCAGGATTTAAGATACTTTGCGAGTTTCTGAGACCGCCCTGGCATGAGGCCCTGGTGTCCTCATCGGCACCGGACTGATGTTTGTTGTGGCCCGGTATGTCTTCCCTTATGGCCGCTCGGAACAAAGCAATCACTTACCCTGTGTCAGGCGGATGGTTGTCGCACCCAGCGTGTTCTTGTTTTGTCAGATGTACTTGTAGCAGAAGTGGACCCTCACTGTCAAAGTCCAAGCTGGCTCTTGCCTTTGAGCAAAAACGAGTTTGTAGACTTGATTGACATGGCAAGCTTTCACAGTTGTGTGCAAAACCAGTAGCTACACATCGTTCTTTGCAAGTTTTGAGCGCGGTGCAGCATGCAACATTCCACTCCAAGGCTGGAGTGACTTCGAATGCGCAGCTTTCGCAAGCGTGCTTGCTGCTACAGATCCTGTGGCTGTGGTTGGCCTCCTCAAGGCCCAAGACTCATCTTTTGGTTCGCGATGTTGCAAACAAGATGTGTCGAGTAGATTGATCTGTGAACATTCAGCAGGGAGCAAAAATATCACAACCATGAGGCATGAAAGGAGTTGGTTCAGGAGGAATGAACCATTGATTACGAACTCTTGCCAGGAGATGGGTGCCAGCCGGGTGCTGACTATGCAAATAGCTGGCGAGTCCTTGCTCAACGCGTCTCGACTGCATGGCTGAGTGAACAACGCATGTCAATATTTGGGACATACGGAAAATTGCAGGCTGCAAGGCAATGTGTTGACGCTTCATGCGAGCAAAGGATGGCGTAGCCATTGTCGTATGGCTGGTGTTCTTCGACTTCATGAAAGGACGGCAGAGCAAGTAGGGAGGTCTCCAGGAAAAGTCACGGCTTGTGGACACGTGGTTACCGTCTTGAGGTCCTGTACTGTGCGACGCTGTCTGTACTGGAAGGCGAGAGCCATGAGTGAATGTCGCGCATGCGGGTGAGGAGTAGATGCCGATGGCGGTACCATCATCGGCAGCTTTCTTCGAGCCTTGGGCTGCACTATTGCTAGCAAGCAGCTTGTCACGCTCGGCCAGCTCTGCTTGCATTTAGATGTGGTTGATCAAGTAACTGCTGCAGCCCCTAAGACATCCTAACGTGACGCAGTTGTTGAGGCTTGGGGGCTTCAGTTAGTGCAGAACTTCCATTATCAAGAAGCAAATTCGCCAACCCAAGATGCTCTGGAGAGAGCAGGAAGCCAATATGCGTTTGCTTGTCAGGCTTAGCTGCTGGCGGAACGGCCTTTGGCATCCTTTGCGGAGTGGTGGGCGCACGCGCCTTCAGCTGAATGAAGACTATAGTTAAGGACCAAAGCTTTTGCACCAAAGGTACGAGCACCCCATAAGTATTGCAGAGTTCTTTTTGTCCACCCCACATGACGCAAGACGAACGGAGGTTGGATGTCGCTCGCCTCTGACCGCCTCGTCCACACAGATTCGTTGGTGCAGGTTGGCACGACATACGCTCCACCAGTTATGGGAAATTTTAGAGTTGGTGAGGAGACAGATGCCATCAAAGCAGCAGCCCTTTGTAAGGGTGGTCGGAGCGATTACTTTGTGAGGAGCAGATCACTTCACGATGGTTGATGGTTAATCGGGTGCGTGCACAATGCTGTGCTGTGCAGATCTATTTGGAAGGTTGGCGTGTACATCAAAAACGATGCAGGGACATACGGAACAGAAGTTTCTAGATGGTTTTACACCCAGCGTGCCCAAAGCGTGTTTTTTCCTGAAGCCCTGCTCCTGATGGAGGTGGCTGTGACCATCACTGTAGCTTACATGGCCTTTTTCATCGGAGCAGCTGGGCTGCTTTGGCAAGAGCTAGGCCCTGAGACAGTCTAGGTGTTCAAAGAGCACCGAAAGCAGGCACACCACTTGGCGGCGGTGAGGTTTGACGCAAGTTCTACAGCTGTTTGGCGCAGGCATACCTCGACTAGTTGACTTACTGGTGGTTAGTGGGGAATGAGGGAATAATATAATGCATATATATATATATACACACATAGATCGCATATTCCCTTATTCCCTTACTAACCTCCAGTAAGTTCTTGGATTGTGAGACCCAAGGAAAACGAGCTGCGTGTAAGCGGGGTGCTGGCGGCCATTTTTGCAGCGTTGATGATGAGCAAGTTCGCGAAACCCCTGGTTTGCCACAAGGAGCATGGGTCATACCCTGTGACAGCGGCTACATAGTCCTGATAAAACAACATCAATATCCTGATTATAGGTATAATAACAGCTTGTACAGTGATTAGATTAGAATCACAATGATCTTTATTACTAGATTTTAAGATGTCCTGCAGGATGGCATGGAGGCGGTGTGGCACGCCATGGAGTACTTTGGCAACACCATACTGTTTGTGCTTTGCGGGCTCTTTGCATACGAGTCTTGCAAGAAAGTCGCCTGGGAAGACTTCGGCTGGCTGATCTTGCTGTACATCCTTGCGAATCTGGCCCGGGCTTTCATGGTAGCACTGCTCTGGCCCATTGTGAACATGGTGGGTGGCTCAGATGTCACGCCGCTTGCCTGCCTTGCAAGCAGCTGTCGGAGTGTACGATGTATGCGTTTCATTGCTCAGAGCATTCCTGTTGTGGTGTATCCCATGTACAGCGAAGGAGGACAACGTGGAAGGAATGTGCTGTCCAAAGCCCAGAAGGAGTTGCTTTGCATCTGATGCCATGCAAGCGTCACAGTGCACTGCGGTCTCGCCACACTTGCGCTTTGCCCAGCTTTGTTCAAGGGTTCTCGTGGAAGAGCTCCCCGGAATGAAGTCCAATCGAGCCCTTCCCCGTCCCAGTAACGACTTTTTGAACCCAACAGACCAAGCACTTGAGTCAAGTGCTTGTGCCTAGTCCTGTGTGGAGCAAAGGGAAGCTTGTGCACTGCGGCAATTCAGGTCATGGTTTGGGGCGGCCTACGAGGGGCCGTCGGCCTGGCCCTTGCTCTGTCCATGCGCCACTTGGCTGTCGATCCTCATCATTGTGATAAGATAATTAATAGACATAACAAGGAGAGTAATGATATTGAGGCCACTGTCAGCATCCTGTCTCGGGTTTCTTCTCCAACTGACGCTGGCTGAGGAAATGAATTGCGAGCCCAGGGAAAGACGGAGACAGCAGACCGCATGGTGGCGTGGCCGCGACAACGTGCCAAGTGGAGGGGCCTGCCATTTCCTTTGACAAATGCCACACATTTAAACTTCTGGACTTTGAACACTTTTGTTTGGGAGCTCCGTACCTCAGGTGTTCTTCGTCTCGGGCTTTGCAGCTCTGACCTTGTTGGTGCACCTTGGCTGAAGGTGTACCAAAATCTATCATCTTGAACAATTACAGCACTGGACCAGCAGGCTACAATATTCTTTTGGCAGCAATGGACACCGGAGGCTTCATAGCCTCAAGAAGAGTTTAATTACACCCCACGGGGTCAAAGACAAAGACGCACAAGTGGCACAACAAGATGGATCTTTGATCGGGCTTGTTTGGCAGCAGCGGCGACAGCAACAGCAGCAACAAAAACAACCACCACTTGAGACATTCCACGGAGCGTTCCTTTGGTGCAGCGCCTTTTGTTCTGGCCGGCCCAGGAACGCAACAACCTGCGGAGCGCTGCTGCAGCGCTTGGAGCTCACCAAGCCCTCAGAGGCCATTGTGGTTGTGATGTGATGATTGTAAAGCGTGCAAACTGGCGGCGTGGGTACAAAGGAAACATACCGAGGCACCAGTTTCTGCATGACTGCGTTAGGCGCAGGTGGTGATTCTGACCACGCTGAGGAAGGTTTTGTGCCTTGGTGGCAGCAAGCTGAAGGGCTCCTGAATTCAACTTGCTGAGCCTGCAGCCCTGCCAGGGTCTCAGTCTCGAAGAAGGCCTTTCAGGACCGTCTGGCCGAGGACGGGCGCTTCAAGGCCGTGCATCAGCCACTCAGCGTAGAGTTTACTGCGCCTCCTCTTGAGCGCACCGTCTAGCTGTGGCCATCTTGGACCTCCAAAGCAGGCCAATCGCATAAATTTCAAAAGGCTCCAGCTAGATGCCCCGGCGTTTACGCTAGAGAGAAGAACACTATAGCTCACTATAGCTCCAACCAGCGTGGCTCCTCCGGGAGTTGGATAGGGCTTGGGCATAATTAAACCGGCATGGGTCTTGGTGCGAACACTTTCGATTTCGTGTGGTAAGAAAGGACCAGACCAATAGTCCAATATGACGGAGGCAAGTACAAGTATTGTCTTAGCGTAAGCATCCATCTGTAAAATTGGAGAAGCGACATCGTATTTCCAAAGCACTTCATCAGACCTAGGCAGTAGCTGAGGCAAGAGCTGGATGCTCTGCTCGAACATCTCGACGATGAGCTCGTGCATCATGATGGTCATGGCGAGCATGCGCAGGACGAGAAGCCATGCTGCATGGATGATCCAATCTTGAAAGGCTTTCGTGCTTTTTTGGCATTCAAAGCGGCCTGCCCCTAGCTTCACAAGTATGATCCCCTCCAGGAAACAGAGGTGCTGAACCACACTCAGCTAGTGGGCAAGTCTACTACTGAAAGCTCTTCTGGCAGCATGTGGAGTTTGAAGAGTTGTCAATAGAAACGTGCTGAAGTCTGATCACGCAGACTTTGTGCAATAAGGCTCCAATGCTGACATCACGGAGGTTGTGCCCCAGGTAGAGGACTGCAGAGCTGTGCCGCTCTGAACATGCCCTTCCCACTCTGCTGGCCTCAGCAACTAGAGGCTTTGCCCTAAACCTTTCCTTGCCCTGTACAGGAGCACGAGGCCATGGTGGCAGAAACAGGCTTCGCTGACTTCGCGGTCCCTTCATCTGAGGATTCCTGTAATTGCTTAGTTCTTGTAATTCTTGTATTATCTGGACGGTATTATAATGATTAGGGATTCCTAGGGAGCATATTATAGGGATAATGGAAAAGAATATGGAAATTAGGATGTAGGGTTTAGGGTTCACAGATATTATCCCTATGCCCTATTATTAATATTATGCAGAATCAAATGAAGAAGAATCTTTAATGGACAATGAAAAGGAAACTCGGTCTATATAAGGTATTGTAGAGATGGGTTTAGACCCACCCATTGCTTTGTCGCTGACGCTGAAGTGTTGCAAAGAACTTCGTGACTTCGTGGGTTTGCTGAGATCGACTGATAACCTCTGCAGTTCTTGGTCAGAGTGAATGCAATGAGAGCCTTAGGAAGGCCTCAAGAATTCTGAGGCCCCAACAGATGAATCAGACGACCATGAGATTCTGATAGGCGTTCCTACTGCCTTGCAGCAGCTCCAGGGTGGGGTCACTCCAAAAGTGTGGCGAGAGCATAGCGCACAAGAGATCAGATTCCTCAACCCACTGGACCACAGTAGCTGCACAGTGAGCTCAGCAGGGGTTTCAAACCCAATCCTTTTCCCTCAGGGTCAGCTGGGCCCCCTGTGCCCCCTGTGGGCCCAGTTCTAGTAAGACACTGGCTACTGTACCTATTCCTGCAGGAACATCCTATGGCCAAACTATGTTTTCTTTGCACCTTAGCATAGCCTTGCTGCATCTCTGATCAAGCATGTCCGTCGAAGTCGCAAGAACGCCTTCCAAAGTCAAATTGGACTAGATGTCTGTGACCTGCTCTTGTCCACATACAGTATACAAGGCCTTCTGGAAAGAGGGTTCCTCAACTCTGCAAATGCAAGTACGCAGGCACCACCGAGCAAGAGGCAACTTCCGCGGATAAACCGCCAGCATCGGAGAAGAAGGACTGCAGTCAGAGCTGTTCAATGGCATGTCTAGCAGCCACTAAAAACCGTACAAGCGCGCTGTTCAGGCGCAGCATTGGTGGTGGGGATTTGAAGAGGTTCGACCTGCACCTTGGCGGCGCTGAAAGAACCTATCACAGTCGGTTCATGACCACCGAGTATGCAATTTGAGTTGACAGAATCCCAGGCATCTGGGATCATTCACAACAAGTCGGCGGGGCACTCGTACTTGGAGAAGCGGCCTCTTGGCTCACTAGGTCCAGTTTCTAGGGCCCCGGTTAGTCAGAGTCAACAGCACGAAGGTACGGAGTGGCAACTCGCGGCACTCACCAGGACACAATGTGGGCAAATGTTGCGCCATGGCCTGTGTAGCCGAGTATATAAGTGTACATTGTTATGTTATAGTATAGTATATAAGCCAAGAATCTCCTGTGTCTCCTTACTTGCATAGAGCCCCGCCTCAGCAAATGAAACTCAAAACCCATGGATCATCCGGGGGTGTCCCAAAATGAAGGGTACCATTCTGGGTGTCCTAAAAATACCATTCGGGGGTCCCAATGATAAGGACTATAGTATATTGGGGTCTATATTGGGAAATACAATCCCTAGACAAGAGCTTCATCCAACAATTTGTGCTGGCAGGAGCGCGTCGTCTACCGCAAGCTCTTTCTGTCAATGCTGCGTGGCTCTTCTGCAGTCGCTTATGGAGCCAGCCACATGAGCTACGCTACGTTATGGGGGATTATATAGGGGAGTCTTACAGGGGTTACTAAGGTGGATACTAGGAGTTTCGAGTATAGCTCGCATCATCAAGGATCTTCTTGGTAGAATTCGGAGCAGATGAAGTGGCTAAGTCCGATCATGGAAATCCGCCAGAAATCGGGGGGTTTTCCAAAATTAGTGGTGCCTTTTGGGGGGGTCCTTATAATAAGGATAATAATATTTTGGGGTCCATATTGGGGTCCCCCTATTTAGGGAAATTACCAAACTCCTTCCAGGTGCTGAATACCTGCACCTCATGGACGGCGGCATGCTGCCACGACGAGCTGAAGGCTAGGGAGATCCAGGGCAGGGAGAAGTTTTCGGTTGCTGCGGAGATGATAAGCCCATGCACAGTCGGTAGCCAGGTAAAGAGTTCCGAACATAGTTCACATGGCTTCTGCCAGAAGTCAAACCACCCTGGTCACCCGTCTGACATGTTGAAGCAAACCGACATCTACTGGGGGGACCGGGACAACAGCACATCACGGGATCCTTGAAGGAGCGGAGCTCCTGCTGGCCAGCATTGATGCCGCGGACGACTTACTCTGACTGCAGAGCATAGTGCAATGGTCTCAGCTGGAACATCAGACTTCAGAATGTTGGAGCAGGCAGATGACTTCGCTGCGCTCGGCTTGAATGACTGAGGGGATTCACATGGGATTATTGCGGCTCAGAGCCCGTAGTGGTGTCATATGGTATCTCTGCTTTGGTCAGACATTTTGAGCTCGGGTTGAGTTTGAGCACGTTCGAAGGGTCCAGGGCTTTCCCGATCTAGCCATCCTCGGCCACGGCATTGCAGCAACACTACTGCCCCCATTACGGGCTGCATTGCAGCTCTTAATCACAATGCCTCGCACTTGCGCGGCAGGACTGGAAAATTCTGCAGGGCCAGCTGCTGAAACGTGCCGTCCTCAGGCATGCGAACTCAAAGCATTCAGCTTCAAATTGTGCCGGCTGTATTGGCTGATTGATACTAGCAACAGCTGTGCATTACACGCACATACACGCACTACATGCGGACCGTCCTGCTCCAAAGTATGTAGCTGTTGCTACAAGTTCTGCGACCAGATGACAAGGTCGCGGCAGCATTTGGGTCAAGGCCAGCTGCCTGCCTTGGATAGCCAAGCCTGGCGAGCCTTCCTGCAAGTTTCCCTAGCAGATTTCCCCTCTGCAAGTGAAAAAGGCCCGAGAGATGCTTTCGCCGTACTTTGCGTCTCCAAGTTGCAGAATAGAGCAACATTGGAGCAAAATGTGTGAGGTACTGTAGCTGCAGCCCACATTCCTTGTAGCAACCCAGGTTTGCGCCAGTGCCTGTCAGTGGCGGCTTAGTCTTTGACCTGTTCACGGTCGTGGCCTTCATCGACGCACATCATACCGTGTCTTGCACTGCAATCCGACCAGGCAGCTGGCACTGAGTTGTCTGAGCTACAGCTGAGGTCTGCCACCGACTACTCCAGAGCGACTGCCTCTCAGGAGATGCGCGGGAGGATGTCATCGTGGAGTCTTGCACGGCCGCTTAGTGCAAGGAGCATTCCGAGAGATGAGGAATGCAAGTTGATAGCTCAGGAGCTGGAAGCTGCACGTGGCCTGGACTGGCAAAAGTTCTTTTTTTTTGGGGGGGGGGGGTTTTTCGAGTTCTACATTAGCTGGTTTGGACTGCCAATTTTTCATTATTTGGCTGGCCCCGGACGCCGCTACATCAGTTTCAGGTTTTAATACTTTGCAGCCCATTGTAGTTTATCACACCCCCCTGTACATGGAAGACGTTTCTTGCTGCGCTCCCTCTTTTTGTGCGCGTGCTTGGCGCGTGTCTCAACTAAGATCAGCTGCTGAAGGACAATGGCACCTTGCCTGCAAAGCATTTTTTGGCAGGAGCAGGCATTACAATGTCAGCCGTGAAGACTTTGCTTCTGCTGAAGCTCCGCAGCAGATGCTTGAGCATCTTCGGCGCCTTTTATCTGACTTGGCTTTGGCTACTGCACGGCCCATGGATCTTGCGAGGCATTGGCGCGCAGCAGATCAGCAAGGCCGTCCCGGGGGTATCATTGGGCATTGGGTGTTTCCGAGTTGGAGGGGAGCCTGAGTAGCTAACATGCGCCGCAGAGCTGAGAGATGTCAGGTTCGCACCATGCAGCTGGCCACGATGCTCTTCGAGGTTCAGAAGGAACCATGACGTTGTGATGCTAAATCCGGCAACCTGTTTCTGCAGTAATGCCTGCGCGAAATTCCTGTGCCAGGAGCAGGTTGCTCGTTGGTTAGAGATGGGCATCTCGGCTGCCATGCCATGGAAACGTAAAAGTTAGAGGCCATCCAGTTGCCCCAAGTGTTTGGTGTGGCAGGTGTCATCTCAGACAAGGAGATGGAGGCGGCGGCGGGATGGATGGTGTCCAAGTGGCCATCTCAAGGTTGCACTTCCTTGGCGAGACTTCTTCGACCGAAGGAGCTCCTGCACATCATCAAGCATGGCCTTGAACATTCGCAAGAGACCATGAAAAAGAAGGTGGGTGCGTGGCTGATCTTGCCCAACATGTTGTTCTGATTTTGGCGTTGCCAGCTGCAAGGTGCTGAATCAGATTCGCAAGGCTCGCCAGACTTGGCTGAGATTTAGGGCTGGACCACCGACCTGACATGAACTATAGTGTATGTTTCTGGTATCCTTCTTAATATTCCCTTATAGCTTAGCAGTCCCACGTATAACCCCCTTTGAGGAGTTTAGACTATAGCTCCAATGTGGCCTTGACAGGCCAGAGAGACGATGAAGGCGTTGCGCTCCAACACAGGCTCTGCTTGGGCATGTTGAAGGGCATGTGCAAAAACGCTGGCAGCTATGCGTTGGGGCAGCAGAAACCATGCTGGGCCTTAGCTTACTGGTGGTTAGTAGGGAGCATGGAAAGGTACCCCTGACACAATTCCTATATAGCAAATTCCCTTATTCTCTGTTAACCACCAGTAACTTAGGGTGCATAACTTGCTGCTAACTGAAGTGCAAGGCCTTCTGTCTCGCGAGACGGAGTGAGGCACCGGGACATTCAGAGGCCCTGAGTGGTCAAGTATGGGGGTATGTAATGTTTAGGGATATTCTTCTGATAATGGAAAATCAAAATGGAAAAGAACATATAAGAACATGGAAAATGAACTGGAAACTGGAGGTATATAGGGTTATATGGTGATGATACATGATACTGAACTTCTGCATCGTGCATGCTGTTGATCTATCGGCTTGGCAGGATCGTGCTCGCAAAGCAGTGAATCCTTCCCTTTGTGTGTTGTTCAGTGGAATCATCTGTGCTTCGCCTGGGGGCAAGCATTGTGTAGTTAATGCGCTCCGCGTGGTAGTCCTGACCTTAAAAGGATGCGAGGCCATGCTAGCTCGGTAGTTCATACATTTACGGATGCAGGCTGCCCGCAGAAGGCACGGTTATCGACTAGCAATGCATGGAGCGTCCCTGGAGCAGTTGCGAAAACAATATTATGCCAAAGCGGCCTACGTCTGTTCCCTTGTCGGGAGATGCGTGAAACCTAGTGAACAAATGAGAGGTTGATGAAAATCATCACGTGATGCATGGTGAAAGATCACTTTGGTGCACGCAATGCTTTTCCAGAAGGCCTCGTTCTTGGGGAAGGAATGCCATCGCAATCGTCGAATGCCAGGGGTCTGCACATCCCCGCCACCAGGGACTTGGGCAGTTGCAGCGTCACATAGCCAGGCCCAGTATGCAACGAATGACAGCTAGGTGAGGTGTCATGATGCATGTGGACCCCTGAGCCACCACCCTCGGGGGAAGGTTGTTGTGAGTTGCCCGGGCGCATGGACGGCTGCATCGCACTTCGACCAGCAGTGCAGACCTAGTTCTGAAGTTGCCTTGCACGTGTCCATGCGCTTTGGCACCAGCACGATTCCATGTAATTAGGTTATTTATAGCTGCATTTTGCCGAAGGCAACGGCAGCAATGGCCAAGCGGCACTTCATCTAGCAGTGACGTTCGTCGCGTGCGTAGCACAAACTTTCCTCGAAGAGGCTGGAAAAAACTGGATGCTGAGCGTGCACCTGACTACTGTAGCATTGCAGCGTTGGAGTAGCACAAAGGCTGATCATGGTCAGCTGCGGCTAGAGATTTGCAAAGCCTTGTTGTGCAATGAAGAGCCTTGGTCCTCTCAGGATGCAGGCCCAGAACGCAAGAGGCGCCGTCCTTCGTGGGTTTCCGGCACCCATGGCACATACAAATGTACCGGCGTGAGCCATGAGGAAGCACGACTTAGTATCTTATTGGAATGAAAACATCGATGGTTTGACACTGAAGTGGCCCAACAGCTCTGTGGAGCCGCAGGCAACGAGCGTCCCCCGAGCTTTCCAAAGTGAATGCGTCAGCAGGACAGCTTCTGCAATGGTGTGCAGTAGCTGTCCAATCTAGAATGTTGGGTCTCGAAAGCCGCAAGCATTTCCAAGCTCTGGTCAGGAAGACTAGTCATGGACATTGGCGCAAACTACGGTCAAAGCAGTTACTTCCCTGCAATTGGAAAGATGCACAGACTTGGCAGCGACAAGGGGGTGGTTCATCCACTTCCAAACCAATGCAGACCGCTTCTGAGTAGAAATCATCGCAAGCATGAGGCGCATCAAGTCATAGGTCTACGGTAGGTCACCACTGAAATTTGAAAACACAACCGATGACTGCGAGTGCTGGCTCCCACAGCGCGCGTTAAAGCTCTAGTGCGGCCCGGTCACCGAGCCCCAGTAAATTATAGCCCTTAAGGGCATCCTTGAAATCTAAGGCCATCAATCCCCAACCAGAACCGAGCTGATTGATTCGAGATTTGTCCTGCATGTAAATTAAGCTGCAGCTGGTGCTCAAGATTTCGCAAAACAGACTTTTTTTGGACATTTGCCAGACTGGGATCCGGCTTTTGTTGATTGATGTGGTGGCCCTTACACCTCCCGTTTTATGCTGGCTTCGTCGGAAAGGTTTCTTATCCAAATAATTAGATGTGTTTTCTGTCACGTTGGCTGGCTTTGCATGTATTCGTACTACTCGAGATTGGTTAGGGCACGGTGTACACTATACCCATGTGCTTGATTTTCAGGGTCCAGGTGGAGGTTGGCGATGTTGGGGTTGTAAGCTTTGTTTTGGGCCGTATAGTGGGGAATCAGCCTGGTCCCGATTGGCAAGAGGTTGTACAGGACTTAAGACGATCGCTTGAGTTTCATGGAGATCTGAGCCTTGAAGTCATGCAAGGTGAGAGATACCTAGCTGCAGGCTTCAAGGCCTGATTCATCCTGTCACCTTCAGAGTTTTGCCCTTTATTGCAAGGGGTCTGGTATAAGGCACCTTAAAACTTAGCAAGAGGTTCCCGTCATTGGACGCTTTTGACATGAAGACCACTTCGGTACGCAAGCATGCTCCATGCGATTGCTGCAAACTGGTTCTGGCAAGAGTTCGTGCAGAGGTGGTCGCCGTTGAGCCCAACCCTGCAGCGGCAGAGGTGCATCCCCGAAGGGACCTTCTGAAAGAGAGGCATTACAGCAAGAATCATCTTACATAGCCCAAGGCTCTCCGCAGTCGGCTCCAGAGTCACCTGAGCGCTGGACGCCTGGTGCTGGAGGAAGGCACTCTCAAACAAAAAGAAGCAAAGCAACCAGGTTTCCAACCTTTGCAGATCAACGGCTCCCAGCTGGTCATTCTTCACAAGTACGCTAGATAGATCTGGTAGGGGTAGCTGCAGACCTGGAGAATAAGTGTATACATATGAAGCGTGAAGAAGGAATTAACTGCCCGGCAAATGCAGGAGAAAGCTGTTTGGAAGCAAGCCGACGCTTCTGGAACACCAGCACCTCAGCTGCAGGTCATTGTTGGGAGGTGTCAAGCGGTAGGAGCAGTAGCGCTGAATGCAGAGATGGTGGCATGAAACGATCAAGGTGAGTTCTGTCAACCTCTACGTGAACAAGGAAGACTCTGAGTGGAGCAGTGTAGCCGGCGATGTTAAAAGCTGGATGGAGTCCAGGTTTGCCGACCCCCAAAGTTCAGAACACAAGCTGCTGTGACAATCCAGAGGTGCCTGGCAAACTTTCTGTCAACATGACAGGTTGCTTGCAGAGCGTGGGACAGAGATACGACACGGAGGTCTGGGCGCATTTGCTTCAGATCTTTTCGGCACATTACAGAATTTCACAGTGGTTCAATCTGCGGAGGTTTGACATGTCTTTCTTCCTATTAGATAGGCCCGAAGTCCGCTGGTGCCTGAAGCTCCGGGCAGGTACAGGTTCCTCTGAGCAAAATCAGCGGGTAGATGTCGACTAATAGTCGACTAATGCCTGGTCCGATGACTGGCATGATTCACATGAGCTCTTCTTCTAGGCGGAAGCCATCAACGTTGGGACGGTGAGCCTGGCAGCTTCTTGGATGCAGTAGCTCCAGCTTGAGGGCCGACATCATGTAGTTGATCTCAGGGCTGTGACAAACAAAACAGGCAACGCAAAAAAAGACTGGATAGTCGGTGAAGCAAGCCTTGAAGTAAGGATCTC